CTAATAATATAAAAAAAAAAAAATAAAAAAACAGATTTTGCCCCCGTCCGCCGATGCATCTATTCGGCGAAGGAAGACTGCAAATCTCTGCTTGTACAACGACAACTGGGATCAGTGGACTGTAGTCGCTGGTCTGAGTTTGGGTAAGGTCATATTCCAGCAAGGCTGGCGTACCTTTCTTTATATGAATAGAATACAAGAAGGGGACACCGTTGTTTTCAAACATGTTACTCTTGACATGTTTCAAATAAAAATTTTTGATAAAAAAGGGGACGTCAAATCCCCTCCTGAATGGGGAGATCTGCCACCATATGATGGTCGAAACGATTTTATGACATAGATTATGGTTCTTTTTTTTTTATAATGTAATTTTGTTTAAATATTACTATGAATAGTTATGTTTTTTTTTTTTATTTTTTTTGATTTTGTATGTAATATGTTTCTTATCATGATGAATATGTATATATGTAAAATGAATATGTAAAGTTATAAGATGAATATCTATTATTTTCAGTTGAAGATGTTAAATTATAAGATGAACATGTCTCCTTCTCGGGATGAACATGTTAATTAACACAATCAATATTTTGTTTTTCTACATGATTAATAAGTTGATGTTTATTACGAATAAACAATTGTATTTATACATCTGTCGGTCAACCTTTTAAAAAAGCTAATGGGATTAAATATGAATCTTTATCCAGAACTTTCAAGTTTAAACCTTCGGGTAACATAAATTGCAAATATATTCTAAAATTTAATAACATTTTTATATGTTATCATAAGCCTTATATATATGATAACTTAAATTTTGACAATGTATAATTTGACATTCATATTGTACATGTAAATTAAAATAATTACATGTAATTGATCTTTATCAATAAAAATTTAAATATTTATCAATTATAATTATAATTGAAATATAATAAATTTGTCTATCAAACTTATTATACGGTACTAGTACGTACCCCGTGCAATGCACGGGCTGTATTTATTATGGTAAAATTTATAATTGAAAGCTATTAATCATTAAGTTCAAAAAGGCAATTTATTTATATGTATGTAATAAAGTGTACAGTCCAAATAATTAAATTTTATTTATCATTTATATTGTTTTTTTTGATACCGTGACTATCGTAAAGTCCAACTCTCATTTTTACGGTAAATTTATATTATATTAAAATGGGTTGATAAGTCTAAAAAGAGATATAGATTGAATTAAAAAGATTTTGAATTGGGGTTAAATATCTTATGATATCATAATTATACTGTTTTTAAAAAGATATTCCATACTTTTTTATACATCCACTTTTGGTGTAACATTCACTTCTACACACACCCTACATCATTAATTATTAAAACCCTAATGAGTACTATACAACACCAACTCCTACGCTCCATACATTAAATACACGGTGCAAAGCAATGAGTACGTTTTTGAAGATAAATAGTCGGTCATAAATT